GGCCGCCGCGAGGGCGCGGTGGTTCGGCTGCTGGCGTCGCGGATTGTCGGCGCGGATGCGCGGCGGCCGCCGCGCGCGTTGTCGCCGCGCCCCCCCCCGCGCAGACGTCGGGGGTCAATGTAGGGCAGCGCGGGAGTGCAGGCACGGCGTTGGATAAATGGCCTTGCGCGCGGCGCGTGCGATGATAGGCCTTGGACTATCAGCGGCGGGGCCGGGCAAGACGATGCATGGAGTTCTGTTCAGACGCGCTGCTGAAAGCCGTGGTGCGCGCCCGCCAGCGCGGGAGTGCGCGTGGGCTTGCGCGTGGGCGTGGACGGCGGCGTGGGCGCGGAGTGGGCGTTGGCGTAGCTGCGGGTGTTCATGGGCGCGGGGCGCGGGTGTGGGTGCGGGCGCGGGCGTGGGTGCGAGCATGGGCGTCGGCGCACGCGCGGGGCGCGGGCGTGGGCGTGGGCGTGGGCGCGGGCGCGGGCGTTGCCCCAGGCGTAGGCGTGGGCGTGTGTGTGGGTCCGGGGTTGGGCGTGGGTGCGGGCGCGTGTGCTTGCGTGTGTTTGTGCGTGCGTGTGTGTGTGTTTGTTTGCGGCCGTGGGCGCGCCGCGGGCGTGGGCGTCGGCACGGGATTCGGTGGCTGTCGGTGCGGGCGTAGGTGCGGGCGCGGGCTCGAGTGCGGGTGCGAGCGTGGGCGCGGGGGCGCGGGGGCTGGTGTTTGTGCATGCGCGTGCGTTCGCGCGTTGTTATGTGTGTGTTTGCGCCACAACGCTGCACATCGCCTTCGCGGTGCTCCTCTTCTTCCTGGGCGTCGACTTGGTCCAGTGGCACGTCCCCCTCTGCAGCGCTTGGGGCTGGCGTTCGTGATTCGCCGTCGACGGCAGCACTTCCCCTCCACCCTCCGGGACTTCGCCCCCGGCACCAGTCCGCGGCGCACCTGCTCCTGCACATCCACTTCGGCACCGCCTGCACCCCTGGGCCTCGCCAACTCCGGCCGCCTGAGGCCCCGCCTTCCTATGCCCTGCCTCCCTTTTTAAAAGCTGTGCGTAGCCCGCCTAGCTTTTAGCGGAAGAGGTTCGCTCTCGCCGCGCAGGTCAAAAAGTGCGCGCGTTCGCGCGCGAGCGCGAGCGCGCCCGCGGCGGTGGCGCCGCCCGCGCGCCCCCCCCCCCTTCCCCGTTGTCTTCGGCACTCCGCGACGGCGGAGCGGTTGGAGGGAAGGGGGGCGGCGGCCCCTGAACGCGGCGACGCCCCCCACCCCGGGGCGCCGGCGAGGGCGGCAGGGAGCGCGCGGGGGGACGGGCGCCGGGCAGAAGCACAAGGGATGCGTGAGAGCGTGGTCGTTGCTGCGTGGGTGTCTGCGGGTGTTCGCATGCGTGTAAATGAAGATCGTAGTGCGCGGCGGCGGCGCGCGCGCGCGCGGCAGCGGCGGTCGCGGTTGCGTTTGCGGCGGCAAGGGGGGCAGGTGCGCGCGGCACCCGGGAGCGCGCCCGCGGGGGCGCGCGCGCGCGCCCGTGCGCAGAGCTGCCCTGCTAGCTAGGTTTTGGACGCGACAAGTGGACAACGCAAGTGACTCGTAGAGCTTACCCATAAGCGAAGCGGCTAGGCTCCAGAGTAATTCTAAAGCGCAAGCGGGCTAGCTGGCTCGACAGATCTCGACGGAAGTTTTGCTGTAGAGGCCTCAATTGAAAATTATGTTTTCGATATTCAATCATTTGTCTGAGATCTAATATTTTTGCTCAGCTCTATGATATTACTTTCGCTCGCCATCTTGATCTCAGGTCAATCAGATGGACATTAATAGTGTGCCGGGATGTGATGTTTTTGTTATTTCTGGGTTCGCCTGATGATTTTTCGGCGGTAGCTCGAGCTGTGGGCCAGCTTTTGGCTGAGATGCGCACCATTCGACAGGAAATCTTTACAGACACGAATCTGAAGCATCGAGAAGCCAAAACTCGGTCTCCTACCCGAGCTGTGACCGTAAAACTGGGTGCCGGCGGTAAACCGTCAACAAGATTACCGCCGGGGGCCCGCTGAGCTCCGCACACACGTAACAGCGCTGTCAATGCAGACAGTAAGCTCCCTGGACACCAGAGGACATCATTTTCTGGAGTTATAACGGAAAGGCAGTTGCACAAAAATTTCTGAGTACAGTAGCTAGAGACCTGATGATTCCAAGTAAACGAGACAGGAACTACTCCTGTTGCAGAGAAACTGAATTCCTGCACGAATCGCCCAATTTCCTATAAATTCTAAAAATCTCTTCTTTCGTGAACGACTTTCATTTTTGATGTCGGCCCCTGGAACTGAATCGAAGAAAATGTTCCGACTACAGCCCTGATACTTTACAAGCAAACGCAACGCGATCCAATGTTCAATAGAGACATATTCGATTCGAAAAACAATTGCTGAAATTCTCAACATCTTGCGAAAAAAACCGCGGAACTCAACTTTTCATACGAACTTAAAGTCGGTTCCCCCACGTCTTTTGATAGTAATACTGCAGCTACGAACCTGAGAATTTCACAAGCAGACGCGACATCACCGATACAGGTGGGAAAGATACTGGTTCTCAAAACGAATTGTCAAATCTCTCACCATGTTCGCCCAACCGACCCAAAGTTCCCACATTGTCTGCCCTGGCCGGGTCGGCCAACTAGCTCCACCCCGCGCCAGAACTGGGAGCCGGCGGTAAACGGTCAACCAGCTATTCTGCGTTTGCGTAGCGCTCTGGGCGCGAACAGTCTTGCCCGCAGCGCAGCGTTCGTCGCCAAACGCGACCACGCCAACACCTGTCCAGCTGGCAACGCCTGCCAGACCTACATCAACAATTCAATATTATGCGATACTATTCTGCATGCACAGGTGCCGAGCCAGGGTGGCCGAAGCATGTATCTACGGGACTACCGAGCCAGAGTGGCTTAGATATCACAGTAAAACAGCACTGCGCAGATCAGCTCTCGCAAAGTGAGGCCACACCGACATGGGCCTGAAACTGCCGAGCCAGGCTGGCTGAGGCATCAGGGATACCAGTGCCGAGCAAGGATGGAGCAGGCATCGGGACTCCGAGCGGCGGATACAAAAACAAAGAACAAATTGCATTAATCTGCCGATGTGCAGCACAGGGCGATGATGCCTGGCCTGGAGCTGACTCCAGCGCGCGGCTCTCTTTCTTCGCCCTGCTCCGAGCGACAGAGACCCCAAAAAATGGAAACAATGCAAAAAAGACCTGTCATTGTGAAGCACAGGGGCGCTGAAACAGCGCCGAGCCGAGGTGGCGCAGGCATCAGGGCGCAGTGATAAATTTCATATGAAGATCATGTGAATAAATGCCATAATTGATCGCAAGTCATCGACCTGCCAACCAGGGAGACCGGAAGAGCGAAGACGAGCAGGGGGGTGGCAGCCCAAAGAGCCGAGGGCAGAGGTGGCGAACAAGCGGGGAGGGGACAAGCCAAAAACACGGAGATCATTAAAGCAAACTATGGGCAGAACCGAATGCGCGCCATCCGAATAATATGAATCAATACTGCCTCGTCCCAAAAAAAGGAGGACACTGCAGGACCGACCTCAACGCGCCGCACATGACACTGAGACCGCGCCGAACCACTATGGCGTGGGTCTCTGGATGCAGGCAAAGACATGTGCAGAGCGTTTGGATAAGTGTCAAAATTGAACGCAACTCTCATCGACCTGCCAACCAGGGAGCCAGAAAAGCGGAAAGGCGAAGACAAGCGGGGGACAGCCAAAAGAGCCGAGGGCAGAGGAGGGGAAAGAGAGGGGAAGGGAAGGGCCAAAAACAAACGGGGACTATTAGAGCAGACTATTGGCAGATGCGAGCGCACGTTATCCGAAAGACATCAATCAACAATTCTTTCCTAGCCGGCATTTGTCATCCAACTCTTTCCATGGAGCCCGCCTGCCGCCGCGGTCCACGCGCAGGCCCTCGAATGGCGAGGAAATGTCCACTGTGCACCACCTTACCTGATAATAGAATGTTCCTCTGAACCCTGACCACAGAGAAGACCATATCTGGAATCTCAACGCCAGTGCTCCCATTCTGTCCAATTGAAGCGTAGATGTACTCCTAAGAGTGATACGTCCTCCCACGTCAGAAATTGATGTTCTCTCTCTGCAACCTCCGGTTTAGCTTGCTTGATCACTATCGGGCCCTGATGACCCGTGCCTGTATCCTGCACACGCTAAACTATGGAATGACCTCCGTCTGCATGAGCACATGAGGCTAGGTCATAGAAACGATTGAATGCACAAAAGTTCACATCACACAAGTCGCTTTGGCAATACTGATCTGGGCAGCTGTACGCAGGTAGCATGCGCCACCTCGAACAACTGCAATGCCGCCCCTTCCAATCAGGCTTCCATCGCTGATTTGCTTTGGTCAGAGAATAGGCCCGCTTCATGTATACATAGCCACTCTCGTGGACCCCGCTCATCCTCGACTAGGCCTAGGCCTTGCAGCCAGTAACCGAGCGCACTTCCCTGGCTGGACCCCCCCCGTCAAATGGACCTCGGATGCCCAGCAAATTCTCTGTCTCTTTCACGAAGTTTGAATTCCAGAACTTATAATGCCCTGCGGGGCTCTCGCGAGCCCGCCACGTGAGAAGGTCAGCTTCCGTGCCCCCCCCCCCCCCCTAATGACATGGCGCCATCAATATTCTCCGAGGTTCGGCGGACGCAGTGGGAACTCTGAACACCATGTTTCCATCCTATTGCGTGTGCGAGCAATGCGTTTCTGGTACGTCATGCCTCGCGCGCGCCATTCCCTTTGCAGCCCGCTCATCACCGTTTCTGAGCCCCCCGAAAACTGACGCATGAGAGACCCCACGCTGCTAGGTCACGTGCCATTCCACTCTGGTGCGTTCACACAATTTGCCGCCAACCCTTTGGATATCCTCTAGTGTTGTCTCTCACCCTCCTCCTTGCTTCTCTTCCTCCTCATCTTCCTATCTTCTTGGCCCTCCTCCCCCTCCTTCTGAGCTGTCTCCTCCCCGCCGCTCCTGGGGAGACAGTACCCCCACACGCGTTGGATGCCGCGCTCAACCAGGACCGCCTCCACAAACAAGCTGACGGCAGCATCGTGGAACTGCGCGGTCCCCCACCAGCACTTCTGGCCAGCGAGCTCGCCACACACTCAGCGGGAGGACCGAAGGCCGACACGGTCTTGAGCTCCCCACTCCAGTCTCCTCGTCAACACTGCATTATGTGGCCGCGGCCCCGTCTTGATAAACTCACCTCCGCGAGCCCACCACCCCCCCGCCCCGCCCCCCACCCCCCCTTCCCGCGAAGCAGCTGCGCCCCGGCCTGCAGCCACGGACTACCCGTGGATTACGCCTTCACACAACCCCCCCCCCAAAAAAAAAAAAAAAGCTTAGCTCTAAGACAATACAATGGCAGAGGTGCGTCCTCGTTCCGTTGACTGCGAAAATATCCCCCTTTTCTCCTCCTGCTGCCTTCTCTTAGCCTCCTGCGCCCCCTGGCTCTTCAACTATATCCGATCGAATGGCTGCTGAACGTTTCGTTTTTCTTCTCTCTCTCCCTCAATTCCCTGGCGTTAAAGTATCGCCCCCACGACATCCTTGGCCCAGTCCCATTGTTCATGGGTGAACAATTGGACCAGAAACGGAAGACCAAGCTTGCGATACTCCTTCCAACCGTTCCTCCTCCTCTTCATGTCAAACTCCGCGCATGATGCTTCCCTCCTGTGCCCTCCCATCATACGTCCAGGACAAACGCCGTCAAAGGAGCGCAGCGCCTGGAAGGCATCTCCGCCCATCACACCGCCTTCGGCCCCAAACAACGCCACACTGACAACACACGAGCGACATTTGCGAAACTTGCGTTTACCTGAAATCGCTCGGCTCTGATAACACATGGCGCCCCGAAAGAAGGTCACCCTCGCTTTTTCCAGGATACCCCTAACGTCCTCATGCTTCCAAATTCCTGCATCAAAATGAACCCCAAATATATCGGAGGCATCGAAATCTGGATCGCCTGCCGCACGTGGTGCTCTTTGCCCCGAAGAAATTAAAATCTCAGCCCCTCTTGATTCTCCTCCACATCGACCCTCTCCCCTCTTGATCTCCTCCACATCTCCCCTCTCCTCCACGCCGCTCTCAGACTTCCATGGTGGCCCATGTTTTCACAAAGGCACGCTGAGTTCTGCCATCGTTGTCCCAAGCTCATCTTGGTTCGAAGCGTGCACAAAATATTGTCTGCGCATAATGCATGTATCAAGTTGCTTCCTAATGTATATGCTGGCTCAAGAGAGTATCCCGGCGCCCGCATCTGCCAATCTAAGCCCCCTGGAATATCAGCTTAACAACTAGAGAACAGTGTTGTTTGCTTATGACGGAAAGCCAGTTGCACAAGTATTTGCACGTAACACAGCAGCTAGAGACCCGATGATTACTGAGCGAGAGGAACAATAACTAATCCAGTTGCAGAGGAACTTCATTCCAACACGAATCGCCAAATCTCTAAGAATGTTTGGGGAATCTTGAATTTCTTCAACAACTGAGATGTTTCAGGTCGGTCCCTGGAACTGAAGCGACGGAAATATTGCAGCTCCAGCTCTGAGACGTTTACCAGCAACCGCAGCGTGATCCAATCTTGAATGTGAAACTGTGGTTTGTGTTTTTAGTGTCTATATATATAGTACTCCTGCAACAAAAGCAGACGTCAGTTGTCAGACCAACTTGAAGGCACTTACCCTACGTCTTTTGGTAATAATACAGCAGCTACGGACCTAAGACTGCAAGCCGGCGGTAAACCGTCAACCTGGGCTTTTGCGGTTTGCGGTCAGAGCTGGTAGCGCTGGGGTCAGCGCCGCTCGTGTCCTGCCATAACTGGCGCATCGCAGTTTCGCAATCCCAGGAGCTTCGAGAGAGGGGCACTACAGGCACAGCACAGCCTAATGATGTCCTGAACTCCTCTTAGAAGCTGAATCGCTGCACAGAGTTCCGCGGACGCGATGGAAGTGTGGAGGGGGAGGGAGAAAGAGTGAAACGCAACATCTTCATACCACTGCTGGGCACAAGATGGGGGGAAAAGAAGAGCCTGGGAGAACACTACTCACGTACACGTCACATACCCATCCTGCACAAACTCCTTCAGTCGAGACACCCACGTCAAAGGCACCTCGTATCCCCGATATTGTAATAATCTTCTGTTGACATTCTCTGATAAACCTCAAATCGAAAACTCGCTCCTGTTGTCCTCTCCTCGCATTCCAAGTCATCCGATCCGCCCTCGCATTGCCTTCTCTGTACACCCATTTCCAGATATCATGGCCTGCGCTCGGCGGGATAATCCCCGATGTCGTTGTGAGAGAATACAGCAAGTTAGATACCTCCGCAATTTCATCCATATAAGTAAGATTGCTAGTATTATATAATCCCGTCAGCCAATTCACAACCACCTGAGAGTCCCCACTTAACTCCATAGAAACGTAACCTGGATAGAATTCCCAAGTAGACTGCCTTTCAAATACTTTTGTCAATCTCCTGGAGGTCTCAATGTTCTTTGGGTGCAGGGGGTCCGCGGACATCTCCTCGTCCTCCTCCTTCCTCACATGTATGTTGTTGTTCTTAAGCACGAACTACGGTATCATATGTAGAGCTTCCTTGCCACACATACATATATATATATATATATACATATGGATGGCATGCGAGCGCGGCAATCTTTCATTCAGCGCGCACGAGGGTGCGCGGTCTCATAGAAATGTGCTGGACGGCTCCTTGCTTGTCCACAACTCGAGTTCAATTCAGACAAACACCCACGCAAGAAAGTACAAAGCTGAACAGATTTTTCAGAATTTGTAAACCTTAATAAGCTCTCGCCACGTGTAGAGCATGCGAGCTTTGGTCGCAGCTCTTGTAGCAAACCGATCTCAGACGTCTCGACACTGCAGACTAGCGCTCGTGATCATTTCCATTCGAGCAGTCTGTTTCCCAGCTTCGTAGCTTGCTTATTGCTAGAAGTGATAGAAACAACCAACACCGCATATCTAAAACTTCGAAAGCGCAAATATTGTTTTCGTCGCAACTCATAGCAGACCGATCTCAGCCGTCTAAATGCTTTAGACTAGCGCTTCTCAGCATGTCTTGCCGATTGGTATATCTCAGCTCCGTAGCTAGCCTACAGTTCGAATTAAAATAAAAAACATCCCACACCCAGAAAGTACATAGTGCGAATAGTGTTGTGGCTAGTAGCAGACCAACTTCAAGCGTCTCGATACTGTAAGTTCTTATGTGTCTCGCGATTTCCCGTTGAACGGTGTGCTTCACAGCTCCATAGCCTGCCTACATGTCGAATTAAATACCGAAAATTAGCACCGTCTCTCACAAAAAAATGTGCACATAAAAATCATTTGGTCATCGCTCTGGTAGCAGACCAATCTCAGGCGTCTAGATACGTTAGACTGATGCTTCCCAGCTTTTTCTTCGATTGGTGTGCATCTAAGCTCCGTAGCTGGTCTACAGCTCGAATTAAGTTGAGGAAACGCACATCATCTCTCGAAACAATATTTTTCCAGTGCGCCTATTTTCTCAGTCGCAGCTACGGTTGCAGACCGATTTCAGACGTCCCGATACTGCAGGCGGATGTGCCTGGTGATTTCTTGTTTGGAGATGCGCTACCCAGCTCCGTAGCCAGCCTACAGCTCGAATTAAGTAGAGACAACTCACATCATGACTCAAAAATTTAGCAGATTACATATAGTTGTTTGGGTTCCAGCTCTGTAATAGACCAACCTCAGGCATCTAGATATTTCAGACTAGCGCTCCTGATGAGTTTCTTTCGATTGCTATGCCGAACAGCTCTGTAGCTCATCTACAACTCGAGTAAAATTCAGAAAAACGACAGCATCTGCCAAGAAGACACTCAACAGCCGATCCCGCCCACGTGCTTTTTGATAATGATACCAACCCGATCGACCTGGGATCGCGATGGCGAGCGGGAGCGAGATCGAATATGGGGGACAAAGAAAAACTCCAACGAAAGGTTGAATTTCGAGAAACTGATTTTTATCCGACCGAACTTATGCAAAACGTCCCTCGACGTTTTTGGAGCCAACTAGCCCGCAAGCGCGCCGGAATTACTTTTAAGCTTCGCCGCTTCGCTCTTAGGGAAGCTCTACGAGTCGTTACGCCTTGAAGATGCTCTTGCCAGCTACGCAGCCAGCCTACAGGTCGAACACCATAGAAAAACACAAACCGCATCTCTAAAAAATTATCAGAGTACGAACAGTTGTTTGGATCCAGCTCTGATAACAGATCGAACACCTCTGTAGCTAATCTACAGCTCGTGTTAAGTTAAGAAAACCGCCAGCACCTGCCAAGATGACACTCAACAGCCGATCCCGCCCGCGTGCTTTTTAAAGGTAATATCCACCCGGTCGACCAGAAATCGAGATGGCGAGCGGGAGTGAGATCAAATATAAAGAAAAGATTAGAACTGTAACACATGACTCGTAGAGCTTCCCTAAGCTAGCAGCTGGAAGCTTAAGAGTAATTCGGACGCACTGGCGGGCTAGTTGGCTCGAAAAATATCGACGGAACTTTTGGTGACTTTTGCTCAGTTGAAAATTATGTTCTCAAAATTTGAACATTCATTAGGAGCTCTAGTATTTTTCCCGTGATATTCGATCTTATTCCCGCTCGCAATCTTGATCTCAGCTCGATCGGGTGAATATTACTATCGAAAAGCACTGTGGCGGGATCGGCCGTTTTGAGTCATCTTGATACGCGCTGACGGTTTTCTCAAGATAACTCGAGCTTTAGGACAGCTACAGAGCTGGTAAGCACAGCTAATCGACGTAGAATGATTAGGCGCGTTCGCCTGTTGAATCCAGAGGTCTGAACTCGGTCTGTTAGCCGAGCTAGGTCCGCAAACCTATTCGTATTATTCGAGTCATCTTGACAGGAACTCTCGGTTTTCTGTACTTAACTCGAGCTGTAGGACAGCTACAGAGCTGATATTTACAGAAACCGATTCAGAATCATCAGTTGCGTTTGTCTGTCGAATCCAGAGCTCTGAACTCGGTCTGCTGCCCGATCTAGAATCGCGAAACTATTCGTATTGGTCGAGTCATCTTGAGAAGTGCTCTCGGTTTTCTTCACTCAACTCGCGCTGAGGGGGGCTACAGTGCTGGTGGTCACAGGAATCGATTTGAAGACATCAGGCGCGTCCGCCTGTCGAATCCAGA